GTCAACTCTATTTATCGTCACCGACTTATCAGATGGTTGGCAAGGGAAAAGTGTTTAATACTTCGGGAGAAATACTTCACTATAAACCGCTCACAAATAGATTTTTGATAGTATCGGTTGATGTTGTTTTAGAGGGGAGTGTGTTGTTACCACTACCTGATGATGTGGCGAATGCAACATTGGTGTCAGATGCAATATGATCGTTTGTTGCATGGCTGTCAAGCCTCGTTTGCGTAGATAATGAGGTATGCTTAAAATCGTTTACTATTCAAATTTTTAAGGCAATTTTACTTACATTTTATTTACATGGTAATGTTAGACTCCAACAAAATCTATTCCAAAAGATAAGGGGATTAGGCGGGAAATCGAGTCAATTGCATCAATTGAGGTACTACATAATTATATGACATTTATGCTATGAGAAACGCTGATTTGTGATTTTATACTTCCCATAACTAATTATATGATAAATAGATTCATGCTAAAGAGGTTTCACAAGTCAGTAGGGGTAAGGCGCCTGAAATTAGCAATATTTCCACACAAAAAAAGAATGTTGCCAAGAAGACCGTGGCTAGCAAAAAAATACTGGTCAGTTCAGGTCGTGCCTTCGGACATATTTAGGAATAACAAATATTCCGGATGGTGGTACCCGCCTTATACCTATGAGTGCATACATCTTTGGTTTTGAATACCTGGAAGCAATTGGTAGAGAGGATATGGAGCAAGTTTTTAGACATTTGGAATTAGGCCTCGGTGTTATTGGTATATACATCAGGTTTACTCCGATCAACTTTGTTTAATTAGATGAACATTTTATTTCCTTATTTAAATGAATATAGTATAATGTTAATGATGTTTTAATTTAAGGTTTATGTATGACAACATTGTGCGCCCGCGTGGATTAGAAGCAAGATTTGGCTTCTTAGCTCCCAACACTGTCAATTCAGGGTTAATCGTAACAAGACCAGATGATGTTATAGCATATGTACTCGGTTTATTCGTGGCCAACAAAGATACTAAGATGTTGTTCTTTTTGCCATATAATACTGGAAACAGGTTAGATTTTCATCCTAACTTGACCTATTATAATTTTTCATTTTTGGACATTGTTTAATCTTTGTTTAATATTACAGTGGACACTAGTTATTGGTTGTGATTAATCCTATGAGAGAAACTGTATATTATCTGGATTCATTATACAATGATTGGTCAACATATCCAGATTTGAAGCAGATGATTGACACATAAGTTTTTCGCTCCCAAAGAGATATTCAAGTTTATATTTATGTTTATGGTCAACATATCTGGATTTGTGTTTATGTTTATGTTTCTATGTGAGATTGTTCTAAACATTCGTTTATATTTTATTATAGCGTTCTATTAGCTTTTCGCTCCCAAAGAGATATTCAAGTGCCAAAAAGTAGAGGCAACAACGTTACATGGATCAGAGTGGAGGTATATTTTCACAAAGAGATATTCAGTTTTGATTACATTAGTAATGATACTTGATAAAACAATTTAAGGGGTATATCCTGATATATATTCGTATTTTCTTTCCATGTGTAGTGTCCTCGCCAGCGTAACAGTATAGATTGCGGCTATTTCATGTTGAGGTTTATGAAATAAACTATTCTTTTAGATCGATTAGAGATTCCATCCACGGTATGGATTTATAACTTATGAATTACATGCTATTTTCATATTTTGTGTTTCTCATAAAATGACATATTGTTTTAACTAAATCACATACTATGTTATATTATTATATATGTAGTTCTTTGAGGAATTCAATTGTGCACATTACTCAAAAGATCAATTAGATGAACTTATGGAGGAATGATGTCAATTCATTATCGGGTTGAGAATTTTATAAGCTAAGGTATATTGTCTTATTTCCTTTGATGAGAACTTTCGAGTTTTAAGTATAAATTAAATTCGAATAAAGTGCAACGTTAATATTATCATGTTATGAATTTCGATCATTTGGTTTTTTTTCCAGGTTTATAGGTGCATGTGTAGAAGATAAAGCTAAGATATTCATGTTGTTGTTGTTTCATGAGAATTCTCGAAGATAGTAAGATGTAGATGTAACATCAATTTTGAATTTTAGGATTTTTAACTTGTAGAATTTTAACTTGTATCATAAATTTTGTAGTTGTTGTTGTATATAACATCAATTTATATATATGTGTAATTTTTATATATGCATATTTTATTGGAATGAAGCTACCAAATATGGTGCATAATATGGTGAAAACCTGGTTCAGATATGGTTAAAATTCTGATTAAAATGCATTATATATATTGGACAGCGCTTTTGTAAGTCAAAATAGGTATTTTATTATAAAAAAAATCGTGACCAATAGACAGTGCTTTAAGAGAAAAGCGCTGTAAAAACTAAAAAAAAAGCGCTGCCTAAAGTGGGAAAGCGCTGTCTAAAGCCTAACTTAAAAAATAACAAAGCGCTGTCTAAAGCAAAAGCACTGCTAAAGGGGTATATAAAAAGCGTTGTCTATTCTAAAAGCATTGTCTAAAGTGAGCATAAGAAAGCGCTTTTACATTGAAAAAAAGCGATGTCTTTTCTTTTAGCAGCGCTGCTTTAGGCAGCGCTTTAAAGCGCTGTTAAAAGAAAAAAAACGCAGTCTTTTCCCTTATTTGTAGTAGTGATTCAGCTTCACACGATGACAATGCCACCAAAGGTTGCTTCTTCAAACACCATGAGATTAAGACACCAAATACTTGAAAGAAATATCCAATTGTGCTTCTTCGATCTTCCTTATCTCCATACCAAACAACATCTGAAAAGCAATTAATTATTACTTCTTTGTCTTCAGAATCTCGTCTAAATAGTATTCCACGATTTATCGAACCCTTTAAATATTTCAGGATTCTTCTTACAGCCTTCATATGTGACACTCTTGGTTCACTCATATATCTGCTTACTAATCCGACAGTGAAACCTATTTCAGGCTGGCTGTTGCACACATATCTCAGAGATCCCACGATTTTCTTGAACAAAGTTACATCGATTTTGTCTTCCTCTCCATTCTTCTCCAACTTCACATTTAGTTCGACAGGTGAGGATGCTGGATTAGAATCATCCATTCTAAATCTCTTGAGCATCTCTTTGACTTACTTTCTTTGATGTAGCACCATACTTTACTCCGGCATTTGAAATTCCATGCCTAGGAAATAAGACAATTTTCCGAGATCCGACATTTCAAATTCCTTCATCATCAGCTCTATGAATTTCAACAAGTTCTCCAAAATGTTTCTTGTTACTAGCAAGTCATCGACATATAAGCAGATGATTGTTATATCTTGTGTTACAACCTGAACATAGACACCATACTCAGATTTGTATTTCACAAATTCCAATTCGACTAAGTATGAGTCGATCTTATTGTTCGATGCTCTAGGTGTCTGCTTGAGGCTATATAATGTTTTGTGCAACTTATATACTTTACTCGCTTCTTTCTGAATCACAAATCCTGGAGGTTTTGTGACATAGACCTCTTCATCTAAATGACCATTTAGAAATGCTGATTTCACATCTAAATGAAATGTCAACCAGTCTTGATTGCATGCCAATGCTACCACTAGTCGAATAGTCTCCAATCTTGCTACTGGAGCAAATATTTCAGAGTAGTCGAGTCCTCCTCATTGAAAAAACCCTCGAGCTACTAATCTTGCTTTATGTCTTGCTATCGAACCATCAGCATTGTGTTTCAACTTGAACATCCACTTCACTTTGATAGCTTTTATTTAAGCTGGCAATTTGACTAACTCTCATGTATTATTTCTTTCGATTGCATGTAACTCTTCGACCATAGCTAACTTCCACTGTTTAATCTTCAAAGTTTCGTTATAGTTGATTGATTCAACACCTGCAAGTAAAGCAAAATAAACTAATTCTCCATCTGGTGTGACTTTATCATTACCTACTACCTCATAATCATGAAGTCTTGTTGGAAGAACTCTATTTATTTGAGGTCTTTGACTTGTTTCAACCACATCCTCTTCAATTTCAACTGTTTCTGAAATGTCAGCAACTGCTTCTACTTCGACTTCAGCTGAACTCTCAATAATTCCTTCGACTTTGACTTCATCAGTTTCTTCCTCAATATTAGAGCTCATCAATGGCTTGTTAATTGAATTACTAGAAATCTAATCTTAGACGGAATTTTCATCAATCACAATATCTCGACTTAACACAATCTTCTCATTAATTGGATTGAATAGCCTATATGCACCTGTCTTGTGATATCCTACCAGAACCATAGGTTCACTCTTGTCATCAAGCTTCCTTCTTCTCGCATCAGGAATATGCTTGTAACACATCAGAATTTTATTATTCACTTAATGAATTGTACAAAATAAAGATACATACTATGACTATTTATATACAACTCTAATTGAGTTTGAACTAACACAATTTAAATTATATTTAAATATTAAATCAAATCAAATCAAATCTATTTTAATATTTCTAACCGTTTCTTCCTAAATTTGTAGACAGCCAAAGCAATTGAGTCAACACCATCCTTGTGAACTAATATATTCAAACATAACACAAAAAGATTAGAAGATATTAAGATAAACTTGATGCTCCCTGACAACATGCTTAAATCAAAATCATAGATACAATGGAAAGTACTATATAGCTTGAAAAGAGGTATAACTATGAGCTTCACCAGAAGACAAGTAAAGGTTGAGAAACAAATTCAAAACCAAATTCTTAAGTGCTCCCTCATCATAACTGATCTTATTATAAGAGAGCCACAATTTTGTTGATTCTTCTACGGATAATACTATTTTCTTGAGGCCAAAGAACAACACTAACGTAACATATATATGCTCAACTTTGTCGTTAAGGAAAGAAAACCTAATCCAGAGAACCAGAACCAAAAAACAAGAAAGTTTGGTGCATATATACGTGCTATAATTCTTCCATATATCTCTATCTTCAAATGGCGATGAGGACACAACTGCACCCCCTAATGGCAGCCGTGGTGGCAATTATGGTGATGGCATGGTTAGCATACAACTCTGGCGTCCAACCATCCAACGATGTCAACATAACATCAGTACCATTCAGAGGTTCTGATGCTTGGCAATATGAGATAGTTCCAATTGATAACTGGACTGGAAATAGGGGTGTGCATAATAACTGGTGACCATAAACCAAATTACTATCCAAATAAATCCAAATTTAAAAATCCAACCCAAAGTTATGTTTATAAATTGGTGACCCATTTATTAAATTAAAAAATAACCGGTACCCATTGTTCCAAACTGGACCAAAGTATGGGTCACTGTTACTATACTCCTAACTTTGAGAAACATACGCAGTAAAACACAATTACACAAATCTCATAAGCCCAAATTTTCAAAAACCCTAATCTTTTTCAAATTTTCTTCAACAAAATTTCAACGTTCTTCACAAAAGCCTCCACGTTCTTCAAAATTCATCCCAATCTTCTTCAAAAATCTCAAACATCAGCAAAATTGTTTTTCAAATCCAACAAATTCGTCCTTCAACAACGCCTCCACGAGCTTTCTTCTCAGAATCAGGTGAAATTCTACTTAGAATTTTTAGTTTTCACAAATTAAAAGCTTTTTAATTATGGGTTTATCTAATTAACTGCACAATCGATGAAATTCAGGTTAAAACTTTTTAGTTTTCACAAATTGTTACAGATGAACCCTATTCACAAGAAAATCCCTGTTCTCATTCATAATGGCAAACCCATTTGTGAATCTCTCATTGCTATTCAGTATATTGATGAGGCTTGGAATGATAAATCTCCTTAGTTGCCTTCTGATCCTTATCAGAGATCACAAGCTAGATTCTGGGTTGATTTTGTTGACAAGAAGGTATAAAAGTTTACCCTTTAGCATGTTTTTCTTGTTCTATCATTTGATTATCTAATTGAGTGTGTTTCAATTCTCAATCTGAAATAGGTCTATGAAAATGGAAGGAACCTTGTTTGGACCAAAAATGGAGAAGAGAAAGAAGCTGCAAAGAAGGAATTCATAGAAGCCCTCAAACTGTTGGAGCAAGAGTTGGGAGACAAGACTTATTTTGGAGGAGAGAAGCTTGGTTATGTGGATGTAGCACTTATTCCATTCTACACTTGGTTTAAAGGCTATGAGACTTTTGGTAACATCAATATAGAGAAGGAGTGTCCCAAGTTTATTGGTTGGGCTAAGAGATGTATTGAAATAGAGAGTGTTTCTAAGTCTATTCCTGATCAGGATAAGGTCTACCAGTTCATTGTGGAGGTCAGGAAGAAGAGGGGCATCGAGTAGGTTGGACATGTTCAGTTAAGTGATTCGTGGTGAGTTTGTCAAAATTGACCATGAATCAGATTATGTACTAAATGATTTCGGTTGTCTTAATCTTTCTGTCAAAATAATAATGCAATAAAAAGGTACTTAGATGTACCAAAGTTTGTGCTTTTAGTAGGAATTGTAATGTTTGTATTTATTGATAGTAGTAACTGTTGTAGGTATGGTATAAACAGGATTAAAAAGAATGATGCTACTATTTGTTCCGTTTCTAATGCTTCTTCTAATGATTTTGATTTTGCTTTTGCTTCTCTTAATACACATATTAAGCTTGAACAAGCAATTCTTAGCTTTAAATTTAAAGTGAGTATAAACAAATCCATTTGTGAGTCACCAAATATAGTTTGAATATATTGACGAGGTTTGGAATGATCAATCTCTTTTGTTTCCTTCTGTTTCTTACTATGCAGTAAACTCAGATCCCTTCTAGTGCTTCATTACCATGATTATGCTTAGCATAGTTAGTCATTATAAAAGTTTTTGTTTAGTCTCCACATAATTAGACTAAACAAAATTAGCAACTGGTTTTTTAGACTAATTAACTGGTTTTTTATAAAACTGGTTTTGAAATCGATTTTTATAAAGAAAATTAAAAACTGGTTTTTAGAAAAATCAGTTTAAAATTGGTTTCTTTTTAAAAACTGGTTTTTGTGAGAAACCGGTTCAAAACCGAACCGATCCACATGTAAACCGATTTTAGAAATATAAACCGGTTTTAATGAAGTAATTTTAAGACCCAAACCAAATTATATATATGGTTCAATTTGGTTTGGTTATTGATCCATGCACACCCCTAACTGGAAAGTTTCCCCTTTGATCCTCACCTTGAAAGCCCGTATACAGGTATTTCTAACGGTCGAATTATTAAATGGAACCGTCATGAAAATCGTTGGGTTGATTTTGCAGTTACTTCTTCACACAGGTTACATTCTCAAACCCTCCATTTCATCTCTATGCTCAACTTTTGTATCATCTTTTTTATGATAGTATTGATTTGGCAGAGTTGATGAATGTGGAGGACCATACAAGGAGCATTCCAAGATAGAGAACAAATGCGGGCGCCCACTCGGGCTTTCCTTTAACATAACATCGGGCCAACTTTATGTCGCAATGCATACATGGGCCTAGTAGTCATTGAGCCCAATGGTGGCACTGCTAGAATACTAAGATATTGGTTGAAAACACATAAAGCTGGAACATTGGAAGTATTTGCAAATCTACCAGGTTTTGGAGACAACATAAAACGGAGTGCAAGAGGTGGATTTTGGTATGGAATTAACTCAAAAAAAGACACATTTATGAAATGGATACAATCATATCCATGGATAGGAAAAGGGTTGGTTATGCTTCCTTTTGAAATAACAAAAATTTACTCATATTTAGCTAAGGTGAGTGGGAGTAGTGGAATGGCAATAAGGCTTAGTAATGAAGGTGATGTGTTGGAAATCGTTGAAGATAGTAGAAGTGGAAATAGAATGTCTATTAGTGATGCTGAGGAAAGAGATGGAGTATTATGGGTGGGATCAGTTGATACACCTTTTGCTATTAAGTATAATATTCTTGTGGCACAAGAATAAGAATAGAAGAAGAAAAAAATCAATATGGATTTTATAAGTAAAAATGATTAAATTCACATGCAAAAATTTAGTTAAGTGTAACTAATTTGTTTATGCAAAAATTTAGTTAAGTGTAACTAATTTGTTTGTATTATCAAAAATATTCTACATAAAAACTTGTTTTTATATAAATGAAAGAGATACTGAAAAATGAAGTGTATGCTTCTCTAAGGATATTTTAAGAGTAAAGTTATGGTTATGTTGAAATTGCTATAAAATTTTAGAATATTTTAAATATAATATGTATGGTAATAGTAGAATATCCTAGAAACTATAGTGTGTATGAGTATGGTAGAATAATCTAGAACTATAAGTTTATGTAAAAGATAGAAGAACCTAGAACTATCATGATACTAACATATCATGAAAACTCTAGAAAAATCTAAAGTAATATAGAAACATTCACCACCATTGAGAGGTTGGTGACTTGAACCTATAAATAGGCATTTGATATTTTGTAACGAATCATCCAAGAAATCAATGACATAACCTTCTTTCTAAACAACTCTCTAAAACTATCTTCTATCAACTATCAACTAAACCACTACAAACAGTGGTATCACACCGATTATTATGAGGATTGGGTATTTTATCGAGTATGCATCAAAAACATCAAAAAAGTAAGCCAAACACCACTTTGGAGCCAAACTATATATATTTGAATTCCAATTTTTTATAGGAGACTCTCATAATCTCATTTTCCCTCTTGACTCTCATTTTCTATTCTCTCAAACTCTTTTACATTCTCTCAACACAACAACACAAAAATCAAAGAGAAGAAAATTGTCTCTCTCCCTGCAAGAAGAACTCGAGGCCTCTCTCTCCCACACCGCCACCATTGCTCCAGCGCCGCTTCCCTCTAGTGATTAGCCCTCCGTCCGCAACCTTCTCCTCTGTCGCATACTCCTTCAGTTTGTGGTAGCTCCGATCGTACTCTTCTTCTCTTCTCTCTTTCCTATCGCAAGCATCATCATCAACATCATTCAACTTCCAATTTTCTACAAATTCTCTTAGGTAACATTAATTGATTCTCATAGTTTTGTTGAATACTTGAGTAATTTGATTTTGTTTATGTGAATTGTGCATGAATTGATGAAGTAGATTAGCTCAGATCTAGAGTTGTTGACATAGAATTTGTAATATTCTAGTGCATATTATGTGTTTGTGATAATGTCTATGTGAATTTGTGATGTAGATTTTGACATAGATTTGTAGACATAACATTTGTACATTAGGTGTATGTAGAAATTCCTCATAGAATTGTATTGTTAATTCTTGACATAAGAACTAATTCTTGATATTATGCTAATCTCTTGACATAGAGTTAAGTGTAATTGTCTGTGTTGATGTTAGATTCTTGATATTATGAACAAATATGGATAGATCTGGAATTGGTGAGTCTTGAGCTTAATTGTGTTGTGCCTAAATACTAATCTTCTGGAATCAGGATTACTAACTTGGGTTGTGTTTATTCTATGCTATTCACCTCAATATGCATACTCTTGTTTACTAATTCCTAGTACTAATATTCAAGTCTTGCTTACTAATACTTAATGTTAAATTCTAGTTTTGCTCACTTACTTTAATATTTTCATAACATGTAATATTGTAATTGTGTGAACGTGCATACACTCATACTAACATTTGCTTATCCATGAGGTGTAACATCTTTCATTTGACTCAAGACACATTACCAACATCTTTTGATACATAAAAACTTGAGATAAGTGAAAAATGTCACAATTCTTGAATTTTTTTCTAACACTTGACATAATCTCATTTTTGAGCTAATTGCCTAAACATTATGAGACTTTACACTTACAATAAATGGAACTTGACTTTATCCATGATTCTAGAACTATTGTTGTACTTTTTTTCCAATTTCAGATACTTTTTTTTTCGCATTTCGCTACTGGATGAAATTGACCTAAAAGTTCTGCTTTCGGGTGGAATTAATTCAAACCGTGTTTGTTTATGAGTCTGTTGACACGTTTGCAATCAACCATGTGATTTTCGTTTAATTCTGGATCGATAAATTTTGACGCCTATTTCCCAATTTTGCAGTTTTTGATACCAATTGACATGTACCTTGTGCTTTGGCTTTTACTTAACTTGTATTCATGTTTCCTTGGTTATTTGTATACCAATGCACTTATATTTACTTGATTCGGATTCATTCCATGTACACTTTGTGATTTGACATAACTGATTTTACCATTTTGTGCCATCACATGATTTTCACATTATGAGCCGATGATGTAATTGTCAGTTGCTTTCTTGTTATCACTAACTTGTTTGTTGAGTTTGTACAAGGATTACCATAAGGGATTTAAATGACGCTTACTTGCTCGGTATTCCACTTTATTTGTGGGATACCACATTTCTCATGTGTCGACATCTCGATACTCTGCTTTATGTGTGGGGTACCACTCTTCCATGTTGCTATCTTTTGTCCCTCAGTTATGAGGTGTATACTTGTATATTGTGTATTGTCTGGATTATTGGTTTTCTTACAGGATACTTATTCAGTTGTGTCTAACACACACCACTTATGTTGCTTTGGTGCTTTAACGCATATTCTGACTTTGTTTATTGTTGATGCTAGCTCGTTCGAGGTTCTCTAGATTTCTTGCTGTTGTCAATTTAGTAACACGCTTTTGTTCGATTGGTAGTCCGATTTATTTCCTTTATCTCTAGCACTTTTACCGTATTTTATAGTTTCCTGATGCCATGAGAAGTGGCATAGAGATGTATAACGAGGGTCTCCATTACTGATCATTCCAGGAACCCTTCTAGTTTATTTAAAGACTCGTTTAGGGCAATTCCGCATTATGTGACATTGTATGCTACTTGTGTTTGGCTTGTTTAAAGACCCACCTTTGAAGTGGGCATTCTGCATGCGTGTTTAAATTTGTGACCAGAGACCTCAATGAAGGCGCTCATTCCCATTCTCCCATTGGTAAGTCCTCAAAAGGAGGCGGGCGGAAAGGGTTCACAATTAACCCCTGCATTTCGTCTGTGTCATCCTTAGCTCGTGATGCACAACGATGCTTTGGAGTGTTCTACTTATGTTATCGGGTCAATCAGATGAAAAGAGATTTGTAATCTATTCCCCACACTTTGTCTTGAGCTCATGTTGGTTGATGTTGATGCTCTATTTTTATCACTCTTCCCCCTTACTTTTCTTCCTGGTAATACAATACCATGGTAAATATGTTTATATTCCCATAGATAGCTTATTTACCTCAGTCGATATGACCCCTTGCTTAAAGCTTCCCATTTTCTACCTCGATGCACAATATCTTGGTTAGGCATTTTGGCTTGAGTAAGCATGTGCTACTCATGACAGGTGTGTGTTCTCTTGAGCCTGTGGATTGTTTGTTTGTTTTTATCCTTGTATATGCTATGTTCCCTTAGGCTTTGAACCATTGTATATTCCCTTAAGATCGCTCGATTAGGGTAGCCTTTGAGCTATACATTAGGATAGGTATCCATGCATGTTAACTTAGGTTGAGATTTCCCCTTTTCATCCTCGACCATGGGACCATCATTGTATGACAACATTAGGGATTAAAGATAGGTTAGTCTCCTTTAGTTGTTTTTCTTTTCTTTGCATCCTTAAGACTAAAAACTTTTTCTTGGTAAATGCATAAAACATATAACAACTATCAAATCCTCTTTCCAGGTAAAAAAACACCAACCAACTCAAACCTTTTTTCCGCCTTCAGTCTTTGCATCAAAACTAATCGAATTTTCAAAAAGAACATTTTAATTCACTTATATGTCAACGCGTGAATCTTCAAAGGTCGAGTTGCACAGAAGGAGAAATTAATATTTTTCATTAAAAAAACACAAAACAAATCAAAACATGTGAGCTGAACTACGACGCTCTGATTCCTTAAAAAGGATACGTAGGCATTTGGTCACGGAGCTCAGTCGAGCGAAACTTTGTAAATATTTCTTTCATTTCCCCGTGTTTTCTTTTTCATGCATTCCCTCTTTTCATTTCTCTTTTAGCTCTTAATCTTAGATTTGAACACACCTTTTTATTAGAGCAACAAGAGTGGATACCGTAGAGTACTACAGGCGTGTGGGGTGCTAATACCTTCCCCTCGCATAACAAACTCCCTTACCCAATCTCTCAATCGTTTGATCGTGATTTCACCCTTCTCAGGTTTAATCGATTTTCACCTTCCCCTTCCTGTGGGATAGAAAACTTTCGATGGTGACTTTATTCTTCATCTTGATGATATGTTCAGCCAGTTGTTTCATTGTGCATGAGGATTATGTTCTTCGGTATTGTGTGTCGAAGTTGACCGGTGAGGCAGCCCCTCAACCTCATACGCACGCTCCTCCGGCGGGTCTGGTTTGGTATAATGAGAAACAAGCATGTGTTTACAACTGGAAGATGATGGAGGCTCAGATGAGAGCTTCTTTCTTCTTCATTCATGATTTTATGCAGATGTTGTATCGTCATCGGGTTGCACTGGAGGAGGTTCTAAATTTTCCGACTCGGGAGGAGTTTTCTGCTTATGCATATTACCCTGTGGACAAGCCATTCTTCTAAGAGGGGCAGAAGCTAATGATGCGAGTAGTGATGAAGAGAAATAATATGAAGAAGTTGTGGGAAGCGATGACGAGTTGAGCAGTTGACTTGGTGGGGATTGGTTTGTCGTGATTATTATTATTTTTATGTTTTATGTTTTATTTAGTCTTTTGTTTTTAATTTTTAGACAATCATCTTGATGTTGTTCCATCCTTTTAAGTATGATGTTTTATGGTGTATTGTGGTTGTACTTTGGTTCCATCCTTTAAAGGATGTGTGTTGATACTTTTGGAGGAATTTTATGCCATGGATGCTTTTTTTATACCACTTTAGAGTGTTTTGGGATTTTTAACTTTAATGTATTATATTAGTAAATTTAAATTGTTTATAGAGTTGGTTAGTTTGTTTTAAATTT